TAAGTCAAGTTCTCTAACTCTCCGGTGGAGTTGCCAGAAATTGTAGCTGGTTTTTCGTGCTCCTCAGAGGGGTTTAGTCTCCTCGAGTATGATTCCCTATAGTTCGGACTCCCGTGGTTCTGAATTTGGTTTCACAAGTGCAATATGAAATAGAAAAAATGAATGACAATCCAGATACGGCAAATCTTAGAAAAATCCATTAATCACAAGAGATGCCAAAAATAGACTGCATTGCCAGATTTCAGAGTTGCCACCTAATATTTTTAGGAAAATTAGGAAACCTGTGACTCATGGTAAAGGCCACTTGTCCGTTACAACCAAAGTGTCTCGGTTCGGGAACTTAGGTATGAGAGGGGAAGGTTATTAATTGAGCACTCCACTCACCCAGTCAAAGATCAGCCTCTACTAATCATGATGTAAATCTTATAGGCATTATATGCTCATATTCTGATTTATTAATAATGCTAATATTATTATGAGAAGCAAACAAGTATAGATCATATCACTTACTTTGGAATGCTTTGATCTTATGCAATTTTGGAAAGAATTTTGATTATGTACAACTCAAAGGAAAAATGAGCTCATATATACAACAGTCAAAGTCATTCCAACTTAAGCAAAAACAGCTTCCATCTAGAGGCATTCATAGAGTTATTTCAAGTAAGCAAGTATCCTCATGGTAGTATGCTCAATGTGTTAACATAAACACACACATGAGATGCTAAAGCAAAAAATTCTCACCTAGTACTCATCAGCGGCAAGCCAAAGAAAAGAAGATAATTAGAAAAATGCATGATCCTAAAAATGCACATGACTAATGCAACACATACAAAATGCAACTACTAGATTCGACTATTAACATGACATGTGAATCAACTCAAAGTATGAGATAGCACATATAATCAAGTAGTAGGAAATGATAACAACATCAAGTATGATGAGCCAAACCTTAATGCATGCAAAAATGGATACAAAGCATGGAAATGATAAAGGAAAACATGATGCTTTATATAACTATGGTAAGCGTAAATAAAAGAGAGAAAGAAATAGAGGTTGGAAAACATACATTAAGTGTTACAAATATGTCCTCTTTACAAGAGGGTCCGAATAGCCTAATTAACTAATTATTACACCCCTAAATGAATTAACTAATTATTACATATACAAATTTCAGAGTGGCTAATCTAAAAGAGTTTGAATAAAGGGCAGGAAACCGTGCGTGCGCAAACGAGAACATCTTTCAGAAATCGCTCAACCGGTTGCCAAAAATTGCTCTGTTCGTAGCCAGAAAATAGTTATGCTTTAACATCGAGATCTACTCCGCTAAGCTGAATAAACTGGTCGTACAAATGAGTCGGTCAGCTGTACACTTGACTTGGCCGGCCGGCTAACGGAATTGGTCGGTCGTACACTTGATTGGCCGGCCGTAAAACCATGCTGGAAAACCTGCTGCAACAGAACTGGAACAGAGTAAACAGAGGGTTTCCAAAGGATGTTCATCCTTCCTGCTCCCTCCTATCATGAAGATTTTCAAGGAGGAAATAGGTTTGATTTACAAACCATCAAACATCCTAAGGGTATTACATGATGATTGGGGAAGCAACGGGATGAAGATCTGATGAGTATGAAGCTAAAAACAAAAAGAATCATTCAAAGAATTGGTTGGAACCTACTACATCTCATAGTGAATGAGAGTAAATGACTAGTCAAATTTGGAGAGAATAGGTTACAAAAAACCATCTTTGAAAAAGAAGCTTGTAAACAAGAGGTTACATCATTGAAGAAAGAAATTAGAGGCTCCTCTCCCTACTCATGGAACGTGGATTGATATCCATTTCCATGCTTCAAAATGGAACTAGAAGAGAGTTTCTAATACTTTCGATGAAAGAGTTTTCGTTTTGCTTTGAAGAAAACAAAATCTAAACCAAAAGAAAACAAATATAACAACTCAAAAATTGTTTTAAGCTCCTCTTCCTACTTATGGAATAAGGATGAAACATCCATTTCTGTGCTTCAAAGTGGAACTAGAAGAGAGTTTTCAACACTTTTCTCTATATGAGCAACAACAGAAATAAGGGAGAAAATCAAAAATCAAGCTAACTATCAAAGTTTAAACACACAACTCATCAAAATTGTTGACAACTCCTCTTTTATTCCTGGAATAAGAATGAGACATCCATTTCCATGTTCTGAAAATGATTGAGAAGATAGTTTTTCAACACATTTAACATGGAAGCTATCACCTAGCTTCAAGGTAAACAACAATATTATTAAAGTGAAAGATTTATAACTAGTTAATCAAACTTGTGACGGGGTGGCTAAGCTCTAAACCTCCTATGACCACAAGGTTCCAATATACTAAGGAAAGCTATGAGAACAAAGGTAAAGCGATCGACTCAAACGGATTGGCGGCTATATCCTAAACACACCAAATCCGTGAGGACTATTGTGCTATTACAACAGTGCAAATATAGTATTCAAAGCATAGAAAATAAGAAAACATATTCAACTTGATCATATCATAGAAGTCATGTATTGGGGAGGATGATTACCCTTTTAGAAGCCCATATTCAGTTCATATCACACAAAAATAACCTAAAAACAGTGCTGAAAATTAACTAAAGGAAGTAAAAAAAGAGAGCAAAGATGAAAGAGAACAAAGGAGTTACAACTAGTGAATAAGCCTATGGAAGGGTGGCTAGCCCGCCCTTCCACTTTTAACAAAGCTCAATCACATTTTTAAGCCTAAAATAACTCTAAAAATCAGTATATAACAAGAAATGAAGAGTAAAAGAGTAAAAGAAAAGATAATGAAAGGAGTTCAAAGGTTAACCTCTTGGAGAAGAAGAGCTTCTTAGTTAACAAACTTCAATCCAAACACCCTCAAGTGTCTAAAAAGTGGTTTAAAACTTTAGCAAAAAGCTTCAAGTTTGAGCTCCAATGGTGTATCTATAGTGCATCTATAGTCAAGAAAGTTTGAAGATCAAGAAAGAGCTTTGATCAATCTCCTAAGCCTTTTGAAAAATTTTCTAGCCCTAAATTCTGAAGGGCGATGGTCTACTTATAGAATTTTAGCCTTCTTCTGTCATAAATATCTTCAAAAAAGGACAGGTGGCCAAATCCTGTGCACAAGAGCAGCCTGTGTTGCAAATGCAGAATCTGACGCTACACATGGCCAACTGGCCAAATGATTTTATGGCCGGCCAAATTAATTAACCTGCTGCTCTCTGTGTGGTCAGGCTAGAAAATAGGATTTTGATCAAAAGGGGTGCAAGGTTTGGGTTTGGAGCTTGAATTCAAATTCTTTTGCTAAAGATTCAAAAGATTGCACAACGTAATGTTTCGTCATTGGGTGTTCAGCATGAAGCGCACAAGTCTTAATGGCGGTCAAAATGAGGTGTCTACAGTAGGCACTAAACGTATTGGACCAAAATACCTTCCCATTCAAAACCGTTTCTTCTCCACGATAGACAAAGAAACATCACTCCCATTTTCTCGGACGATCAACCTTCTTAATGATTTTCTCCACCATCTCTGTAACGCCCCCAAATTTTATTACTCGAATATATTACCAAGTTCCTTATTAAAATTCAATTACATAATAAAATGCGGAAGCAAGAGTACAAATGAATAAATAGTGTTATTCTCTCTCATATTATACAAATGATGAAATACTCAAATACAACATATTACAAAACATGCCCTTAGGCTTACATTGAAAGTTACATAATAAATAACTACAAAGAATAAAAATACATTCTCTTTCCAATACATGGCCACTTCGCCAACAATTAATCAATATCTAAACCACAACAAAATAACTCCCTTCATTCTTGGACAATTCATCCGACTCGGCACCTGAAAATTTGTTTAACAATAGGGATGAACACAAAGGTCCAGTAGGGGTCTACAATAATTCTAATCAATAATAACCTATAGATATATGTGATCATGAGTGCTATTGTTATACATACAGATGTAGTGATGTCTTTTCATATCCAAAGTATTTACATGCGTACATATGTAATGAAAGCTTTCAATGAGATCTTCAATCAATCTCAAAGGACCAAGGTGAGAGGATGACGCAAAGTGAGTAGATCTAAGAATCTATGTGAAAAAGCTTGAGTTTTGGAGAGAGAGAATGGTGTTCACGGTGTATAGGGAAGAAATGAAAGAGAAAGAAAAGGAGAAAGTGAGGAAAGAGAGAGTATGGAGGTCTATTTATAGTAAAAGAACCATAGTGAGTTGTTAGCCCTAAAGTCAAATAAAATATACATCAAAAATTCCAAAAGTAGGGCCCAAAATGCAGTAGAAATATCTTTGATTTTCTTTGAAGTGTCGACCCAGCAGCAGTGAGCAACAAGTGAGTTTGGAAACCCTAGTGTTGACACCTCCAAGCAGTGTTGATCCACGAAGAAATCAGACTAAGTAGTGTCGACACTAGGAAGAGGTGGTGTTGACACCAGAAAGCATAAACCTCTAGAGAAAAAGAAGGCAAGCAATTGTCAACCCTAGGGGGTCCAGTGTCGACACCCAGATTAGAATTTCTAGGTTCCAAAGCACTTTTCTAACAAAAGTAAGCGCAAATGAACATCCTTATGAAGTCTAGATTAGATTTTCACTCAACAATTACGATTATATGCCACCAAAGGATCTCAATGACTAAAGAAATGAAATTAAACACGTCTCATGGACTTAAGGAGCACAAGTGTTACAATCTTCACGATTGACGAACAGAGAATATTGCTCCGATTTTCTCAGAACCTAATTTCTCTTAAGCATTTTGGAAGCAACACTTTCAAGTTTCTTTGAAGTTTCTCTCAAGTTTCATATCAACTTGAGAGAAAATCAATAAAATCAACTTGAAATCAACGAAATCGGGGTTAGTGTTTTCACAACCAACAAACCAGTAAGTTTTTCATTGCCTAACCTAATTTTCTAAATGATTTTGGATCTACATTTGAACTGGACAATATATTATGTCTAGGTAAAATTAGGGCTTCTTATTCAAGATTCTAGTATATTCATTAATAATTGTTTACAAGGTCAAATTTAAAAGAAAAATTGAGTTGCATTATCAAATGTCCCTAATTTTCTGTGTCATTGTACAATGGGTAGAGAAATTTGATACATACTTGCCTTTCCCTTACACTTGTCGCATTGAATTTCACTGATATTACAGTTTTCCTATGTGCACATAAAACAAATGTGCATTGCACTTCCTCTATGTGTGCATACAATCTGTGGATGCCAGTCCATGGTGGCCAAATGCAAGGGTGTGTTTCCATGCTTATCCCCCTCATGTTTATAAAGCTTCTCGAGCTCAGGAGTTTGGAGAATGTAACTAACCATGTTATGTCCTCTGCTCTTGGCAGCAACATGAAGAATATTTTGACCATGACAATTGAGCAGTTCCCTCGAATCAGGCCAATACTGAAGCAATGCCCGGACAACATCAATGTGACCTTTAATTGATGCTAAATGAATAGGAAGTAAGCCATTGTTGTCCCTTGCAATAGCACCTGAACTGTGTCTTCCTAACAAGTACTGAACCTCTTCAAGATAGCCCAATCATGCAATCAAGTGAAGTGGAGTCCTTCCTTCATCTCTTAATTGAATGAACCATGGTTCTGACTTCAATAAGGCATCTAAAACACCTGGGATTTTAAAATAAATTGAGAAACAAAAATGCAAAAGCCAAAGAGAAATCAAGAATAAGTGTTAGAATTACGTCGGTTTGTTTTTAAAATGGCAGCATGAATAGGTGATTACCCTTTAAGTCTTTCATTTGTATTTTCAATACCAACTGTATCACATAGAATATGCATGACAAGTTCCAAAAACCCTACTTCAGCAGCTAGAAACAGAGCTGATTTCACTTCATTGTTCACAGATAATATAACACTTACGGATCTACCGTGATCAAATAATAAGCTACAACTTGGTGACTGTTCATCAAGGCCTCGTGCAATGATAAGTTGCCCTTTTCATTTTTTACCCTCAAAAGCAGATTATCCCAATCAACATCTCTCTAAATTTTCCCACCATTTTTAGAACACATTTGAATCCCCAGAGCATATAAATCAACCAGATCAATTACTTCCTTTTTTTCTCTTTTTGTTAAGTACTCAATACAATTTACTTGATAGAATACTTCGAAGTAATCATCGTCAACATACAGAAGCACAAGAATTGCAAAAAGTCACACCAACTGAACTCTGAAGCAACAAAAATTATTGACATTACTTCAAAGACACATAACAATCAAGTAAAACTGATACAAGGGAAGCCAAATACTCACCTGAGACCGAGGGAAGATATCAGCAAAAAGATTTTTGTACCGCTTCACGGGCTGTCTCGACCTTGCCCGCAGGGAAGGATAGAAGAAACAGACTTTACCACAAATGGGTAAAACCCGCCTAGACATTACCCCCATTTTCCAAGGAATTGAATTCAAACCCCTCCCCTGAAAAACCAAATCACAAATTCAAACCAAAATTCACCAAAACAACGCAGACCCAATTGACCAATTGAACAATAATTCAGAAGAATTCCCACAAATTTCATTTTTGTGGCAATTCAATGAATTGGACACAACAAAATCGCCAAAGAAAAGGTCAATAAACATATCAATTTTGCAAAATTCAAGCAAATTTATCAAAATCTAAATCATACCCACCAATCCAAACAATACTAAAATTCATATACTGAACAATCCAACTGTTAAGATCGTGATCTAGATAAGCCTACCAATGAACGAACAAAATTGAGACAAAAAACAAAAAAGGGTCTAAATATTGATGAGTAAAAGAATGAAAAACTAAATAATTTCCATAAGAAGCTCTGGTTATCAATCCAAATGCCAATAATTAACGTAAAGAAATTAAAAATTGAGCGAATACTCTTCCAAAGGACCTCTAATAGTATAAATCCTCTACCCACCAAACAAGCTGCCATATCTCCCCTCAATCAATCTTCTCCTTAGACTATGCTATGCCTCTTTAGTGTGAATCTCAATAGCCATTTTCTAATATCGCCTTATTAAATAAGTCCAGCTTCCTAATCCCAACACCTTACTGAAGCCTCACTACAAAAATAGATTTCCATTAACTACTATACAATCTTTAAATGCTTTCAATTATTAACCGATTTTTTGAAATTTAGCTGAAATTCCAACCAAACTAATAGACAATATAAGAAAGCCATTCTTTTCCAGAATGCCAATTTCACCACATATTCAGAATTTATAGCCAATTTTTTGCTATCTGAAACTTGATCAATTCAAATTCAATCAACCAATCTGAATCTAACTCATGGGAAACTTGAGTAAATTATGAAAATTTTAAAGCGATGGTCCCAAACAATCAATTTAGCTATGATTTTCTACATAGAATTACAGCAATCTATTAAAAATTACAGCCAAAACAAGAAAACAGAGGCAACCTCTGAAAACCGTACAATTAACATACTAAGAAAATAAGGGCAGATGGAAGAACTCAAAAATCTTAGAACTCCATTTTTTAAAAATAATTTGGCACCTTAGACAACTCAGCGACCCAAATAATAAATTCTTCACTTAAAATTGAGGCACCGCAAAATAACTACCTCACAATACCTGTTTCAATCAACTCTATACGAAAAAACTTGGGGACCTAAGTTACTAAGGTTAGTAACTCACAAGTATTCCTCCAAGATCCTCAGAAGAATATGCACAGACAAGTTTCCTCTCTTTTCTTATACCTGGTGATTATTAAAGGAAGAAACAAAAATAAACAAATAAATAAATTTATAAAAATTAGAAAAATAACTCAAAACCGATCTAGCATTGATGTGCGCAACCATATTGACCTTCCTTAGGGTCGAGTAGACTTAACAACAGTATTAGTGTCTAAGGTGACATCGGTATCAACCTATTGAACATCATCCTTTTCAACAGCTACAATATGCATACAAAGATGATCCTCATCAAACTATATAATGATATTAAGTGTAATATAAATTCAATTTTATCTTGATGTACCTTTATCCTTGATTCCTGCAGCTTTCTGAATATATAAAAAGAAGAGTCAGAAACAGAAAAATTCAAGAACAATTTTTTTAAAGCTCATAATCTAATTCGAAGGATAAATGTGACAATTACACTTTCAATCTCTTGAGGATGCTGTAAACTGTGATGAATCAAATGCCCTCATCTGCACCAATACCTGTTGTAATTTTGAACAATTATGTCCCAGTACCTATCGAACTGTCAAATGTCATGAACTCCTTATTTATGAAAAACTCATCCCACAACAAGGTTAAGCTTATTAGCTCCTTTGATTCAGAAGACAATTAAAATAAATAAACTTTATGTTCTAGGCAACAAAATAGAGCATGAATTTGATGAATAAACAAAAAATCAAAGAAACAAAGAGCAACAACAACAAAAAAAAAAGAAGAAGCTGCAATGTCCTGTTTGTTCTTAACTCTGACATATCCTTTGATCCCTCGCTTCTCTTTCCCAAGGCCTTCGCCTTCTTCCCATCCCTACAACACAATAACATCTTCACACCATCAACACACATATTTACACATATATAGACCCTGTTTGGTAGGGCTTATTTCCAACTTATTTTAGCTTTTAGCTTAATTTAAGCTATTTTGATGTGTTTGGTTCAGCTTAACAATACAACTTATAGCTTTTTGTAAGTCAAAAATTAACTTATTCTTTGAGTGGGAGAGGAGAAGCTTAATTTATAAGTAAAAAATCAACTTATGTTCACAGCTATAAGCTATAAGCTGTTAGGCTATAAGTTATAATCACTTTCCCACAGCTCTACCAAACGGGGCCATACAGATTAGAAACTTAAGATAACCACAGAATTTGTTACAAAAAATTAGCAGGAAAGTACAATTAGTTCTCTTTATAAAAGAAAATCAATTTAAGATGCTTCAAAATTTCCAAGATGTCCTATATGAAGGACAAAAAAATATAATACTTTCAAAACCTCCTCATAATTATAAAGTCCTATATGAAGGACGAAAAAAAATATAGTCCTTTTCTTGTTAAGGTTCGCCGTCTCTACAAAGTCCGCTCCAAATCATCCGATTCAAGTGTTTAAGCTAGGTGTATGAAAGATTTTATCCTTCAATAATGGACCAATAATGGAGGAATTTCCGAGGGCTAGGACCAACAATTTAGAAGGCAATGAAATGGGGGGAGAGGGTTTCTTGGCTGCGCAAAATCCCACAATTTCTTTATCTATATTATTCTTTAGATAAATATCATGCTACCCCACACCCATCAGTATTTTGCAATTTATTGAAGTGTCCTTGTAATAAAGCTAATCACACCAGCCTATGTTTTACTAGCAATTAAAAGAAAACAAAGAATATAAGCACACCAACCAATGTTCTGCTATCTATTAATTAAAAAAGACAAATAAATAAGCACACCCATCAGTGCTATACTATAAATTAAAATAAAACAAATAAATAAGCATACTATTTAAAGGCTCAAGGTGAACCAAGGTACTGAAGGTCTCTTTGGGGCCTAGGCACATGGCGTGGGCTTTATTGAAGCAAGGTCTCTTTGGGGCCTAGGCACACAATCTTAGTAAAAAATAAATAAATTAACATAGACTAATGTTTCATAATGTAATGTGTGATTTCATGAATTAATTATTTGTAGGTTTTTCTTTTTTTTTCTTCTAACAGAGACTCAAACAAAGACAATAACATAATTGCAAAAAAAAAAACACACACAGCATGGAAGAGAAGCCAAAAAAAAAAAAAAATAGAAGAAGAAGAAGAAAAATAAGACGTGTTTGCTTATACAAACTACTGCCATTCTCATTTTTAAATTATTCCATGTATGAAGCAAAAAAGAAAACAGAGAAGCAAGAAAAAAAAAGATAGGAAAAAAAACTCAGCGTAGCAGCAAACGACAAAGAAGAAGAAGAAGAAGAAGAAGAAGAAGAAGAAGAAAAAGAACTATGTCCAGTAGGAGAGAGAAAGAGACTGAGTCAAAGAAAAAAAAACAGAGCGAAGAAGAGAGAGAGAGGGAGAGAGAGATATTGAGTCGAAGAAGCAGGAAAAAAAAACAAAGAGCAAAGCAGAAGAAGAAGAAGAAGAAGAAGAAGAAGAAGAAGAGAGAAAGAATTGAGACTCGAAGTTGAAGAAAAAAAAAACAGAGAGCAAAGTCGAAGAAGAGGAAGGAGAAGAAGAAGAAGAGAAGAACTCACCTGGTCCCAAACGAGCCGAAGGGAAGAGAGAGAGAGAGAGAGAGAGAGAGAGAGAGAGAGATAGAAGAGAGAGAGACAGCAAGCTTTCAAGCAAATACGAATGGAGATTAGGGCATTTCGATCGATTTGGGGCTGGGTACTCTCGTATATAGCTCAGAGTTGTAATCCTCTATAATTCGAGCCTTTAAAAGCACGATTTGAGCCATTAGATTCATTTAGAGATCCAAAAACAAAAGTCGCACCTAGGCATGCGACTTGTGCCTTTTCTCGCCTTGACAAGTCATGCATAAGGTGCACTCCTCTTTCAAGTCACATTGCCTTGGGTACCTGCAGGCGCAACTGTTGCGCCTCGCTACGCCTTGCGCCTAGGCGCGCCTTTCACAACACTACTCGGCGAGTACTCTACTATCAACTAAAATCAAATTAACAAATTTTAACACACTCATGCCAGTGCTCTAGCATCAATTACAAACAAAAAAGAATTTTAGCACGCTAGGCAGTGCTATGCACAGTATAGCTCCTTAATGAGAACATTATATATACATAAAAGAGTAAAAAGCCCACCCGCTAGTAGCTCATGGGAACTAAAAAAAATTATACCTTCGCTTGTATCAGAAGAATAAGAAATTGAGGACCCACAGCAATCTACATTACACAGACTCGGGTATGGGTATCGGGTGCGGGTACATATCTAGGGGTCAGGCACTTCAAAACTAAAAATTGAGGATACGTGGATATGGATCCAAACGGGGATACAGGTATGGGGATACGTTAAATATTTAATTTTTTAAATATATTTATTATATAAAGATAAGTTAAATAGTTATTTTTTAAATATATTTATTATTTTTATCTTATGCATTACTTTTATTGATAATTTTTTTAATTTATCTATATAATTTATTTTTTTACTTTTAATTGACATATATATTATAAATAACAAAAATATAATAAATAAGGAATAACAAATTATGTTAAAATAAATATAAAATAGATAATGTATTTTATAGATTTTATTAATTTTATAATATATATTATTTAATCAGATTTATTATTATATAATTGATAGGTGGATGGTAGCTTTTTTGACTTTTGATTGGTAGGTGAAAAGGTGATAGTTTATTAACTTGTTGGTTGGTGACAACTTTCAAGATGGTAGAAAAGGAGTTGTTCTCAATATATTATTTATGATATAATTTATATTATATATTATTTATGATAAATTATATTATATATATTATATATGATAGGCACCAATTAAAAAGAAGAGAGAAGAGAAGATGGTCAAGAGAGAAGAATACGGAGAGAAGGGAGAGAAGAAAAGATAGAAGAAAACAGAGAGAAGGGAGAGACGAAGTTGATTGAAACAGAGAGATGAAGATGATCGAGAACGAGAGAAGAGACAAACGAAGAGAACAATCAAGAGTGAGAGTGAGAGAGAGAAGAAGACAAATCGAGAGAAGAAGATCGAAGCCCTGATCGTAGGTATGCCATCTTTCTTCTTACTTCCATATGCCGTATCCACTTCTTCCATGCCGTATCCTGGCCGGATTCCATACCCGTACCCGTGTCGTGTCGTATCGACACAAGTACTTCGCCAAAACTGATGAGTCCGTGTAATGTAGACAGCAATGCTTTGCTACCAATTAAAAGCAAACAAAGAAATAAAGCACACCCACCAGTACTCTGCTATCAACTAAAATCAAATTAACAAATTTTAGCACACTCGTGCCAGAGCTCTGGCCTCAATTACAAACAAAAAAGAATTTTAGCACACCCAGCAGTGCTCTGCACAGTATAGCTCCCTAATGTTAGTACATGGCACTTGAAGCTAGTAAAATGATTTTTAATATAAATGTGAAGAAAAATCATAGCTTGGAGACTTAAGAGCAAATTATAGACTTCAAAGCAAATAAATATACTTAATTATGATTTTTGAAATGATCGTAGGGGCCATGGTTAACCCTAGCCACTCCCTATGTCCGCCGGTCACTTGAATAATGTAATGAGTAATGTTTATCTCCTTTCTAGTTTGATGGAAATCTTTGATAAGGAATGCCCTGGTGTTAGTTTTGGAGGATTTGTTTATGTAACATTCAAAAGTAGATTTTAAAGGGAGTACATTAAGTTCTTTCAAAAGTTTAATAATTAAAAAAAAAAAATCTATTTGTCAAAAATCAGAAGCTGTAATTATAGTTCACATTCCCTTTTTCTCAGCTAGTACTGAACAAAGCAAACATATAGGACCAATAACGTAATAGTTCATAAATATGTTTCTAAATTCCAATTTCTATAAGGCTTGTCGTTTCTAGGGTAATTCTTTTAGTGAATAAACATAATTGCCCGAGTCAAGTTTCCTCGTTGAATCTTGGGACATTTTTTTTTTCCATTCATAGTCATTTGACTTGGCAAAAGCTAGGAGTGTATTGGCAATAAGAGAGCAGTCTCATATCACAAACCCACCTAACCTTGTAGTCACCCACCTTGCTACTATGTGTGCACACATGCAAGCTAGAATAACCACAGAACTCTCGAACAAAACCAAAACCAAAATAGAATATCCATTTGCAAAATCGTAAATCCCCCAGAATGAAAATAAGCATCAACCAAAAAGATTGGAAACATAATGATGAAGTTGAGGTTTGGATTTCTAGAAAATAAACTTGGAACACAAAATTTAGGAACGAAAAAAAAAAAAAAAAAAAAAAAAAGATGATGGTGAAACTAAAAAAATCAATGCAAGTTTAAGAACAAAACATATGATGTCATTCTTGAAGTACATCAAAATATTCAAACAATTAAACAAAATCTACAAACACTCTACAAGTTGATAAAAACACAAAACCACATGTACTATTCTTAAGGGTAAAACACTTGATATAAAATTCCATCAACAAATAGCACTTAAATAAAAATCAAAACCAAAATGTCTCTATCTCATATGTTCATCTATTTTATATAGAGTTCATGTTCTATATGTAATTATGTGGCCACTCTGTTCCTTGGGACAACACTATGGAAAATTTACAATCTACTCAACACAGTAAAGGGTGTTGGCTATTGTTATTCCGAATTTGGATAGTGGTGTTCATGGTGGGTTCAACCAGAGAAAGAACCAAACTAATGGGGATGGTGTGTTACTTCAAGTATTCTCAAAACGAAACCCAACAATAATTTTATTAAAATTATGAAGTAATAGAATGTAACCAATAAAGGCAACAAATTAATTTAATATCTAATTTGACATAAAATTGAGTTTGGCATAAGAATCTCATAAAATCCATCAAAATACAATAATTACATAAGGTCATTTGTACACAAATTTCAACCAAAACTAACTTGAGTGTGATACCCAATTCAAGGTAATACAATTTTTTTTTTTTTTTTTAAATCGGCAAATGTTAGTTGTTAGATTAACACCTATGGGAGAAAATCTCTCCACTCTTGGCAAAGAACTTAAATGCTTGCACTCCCTTTATTCAACTTCACTAAGGGGAGTTGAACCCATGACCGCCCTAGGGACTAAACCCTAAGGAAGGCATGGTGGCCAACTAGGTTAGGCCTAGTTGGTCAATTCAAGGTAATACAGTATCTCACAATAAAAAATAATAATTGCATATGATCATATTCTTTCTTTCTTTCTTTCTTCCTTTTTTTTTTCTTCTTCTTCTTCTTTTTTTTTTTTTTTTTTTTTTTTTTCACCAAACAAGATTGTTTTTATTATATAATTTCCAAATTTTTTATAAACATAATAAACTGTAAATATGAACAAAAATATAAATTTTATTGAATTAAATTTTTATAACTTGTAAAAAAAATTTAATTTGTCAAAAATTGGAAGCTGTAATTATAGTTCACATTCCCTTTTTCTCAGCTAGTACTGAACAAAGCAAACATATAGGACCAATATAGTAATAGTTCATAAAATATGTTTCTAAATTCCAATTTCTATAAGGCTTGTCGTTTCTAGGGTAATTCTTTTAGTGAATAAACATAATTGCCCGAGTCAAGTTTCCTCGTTGAATCTTGGGACATTTTTTTTTTCCATTCATAGTCATTTGACTTGGCAAAAGCTAGGAGTATATTGGCAATAAGAGAGCAGTCTCATATCACAAACCCACCTAACCTTGTACTCACCCACCTTGCTACTATGTGTGCACACATGCAAGCTAGAATAACCATAGAACTCTTGAACAAAAACAAAACCAAAACCAAAACCAAAATAGAATATCCATTTGCAAAATCGTAAATCCCCTAGAATGAAAATAAGCATCAACCAAAAAGATTGGAAACAAAATGATGAAGTTGAGGTTTGGATTTCTAGAAAATAAACTTGGAACACAAAATTTAGGAACGGAAAAAAAGAAAGAAAAAAAAAAAAAAAAAAAACCGACAATGGTGAAAGTAAAAAAATCAATGCAAGTTTAAGAACAAAACATATGAAGTCATTCTTGAAGTACATCAAAATATTCAAACAATTAAACAAAATCTACAAACACTCTACAAGTTGATAAAAACACAAAACCACATGTACTATTCTTAAGGGTAAAACACTTGATATAAAATTCCATCAACAAATAGCACTTTAAATAAAAATCAAAACCAAAATGTCTCTATCTCATATGTTCATCTATTTTATATAGAGTTCATGTTCTCTATGTAATTATGTGGCCACCTGTTCCTTGGTACAACACTATGGAAAATTTACAATCTACTCAAAACAGTAAAGGGTGTTGGCTATTGTTATTCCGAATTTGGATAGTGGTGTTTATGGTGGGTTCAACCAGAGAAAGAACCAAAATAATGAGGATGGTGTCTTACTTCAAGTATTCTCAAAACAAAACTCAACAATAATTTTATTAAAATTATGAAGTAATAGAATGTAACCAGTAAAGGCAACAAATTAATTTAATATCTAATTTGACATAAAATTGAGTTTGGCATAAGAATCTCATAAAATCCATCAAAATACAATAATTACATAAGGTTATTTGTACACAAATTTCAACCAAAACTAACTTGAGCGTGATACCCAATTCAAAGTAATACAATATTTTTTTTTTTTTTTTGAATCGGCAAACGTTAGTTGTTAGATTAGCATCTATGAGAGAAAATCTCTCTACTATTGGCAAAGAACTTAAATGCTTGCACTCGCTTAATTCAACTTCCCTAAGGGAAGTTGAACCCATGACCGCCCTAGGGACTAAACCCTAAGGAAGACATGGTGGCCAACTAGGTTAGGCCTAGTTGGTCAATTCAAGGTAATACAGTATCTCACAATAAAAAATAATAATTGCATATGATCATATTCTTTCTTTCTTTCCTTTTTTTTCTTTTTTTTTTTTGTTTTTTTTTTTGATCAGCAAACAAGAGAGCACTTTATTAATGATAAAAGAGAAGTAACAACAAAACCAAAAGTAGGAGCAAAAATTGCATCATAGCAAATCCATCTCATCCCAACTAGGTTGAAAGAAAGCAAAATCATGTGCAAGCTCCACCAGGAGAAAACAAAGTGATTCGCAAGAGATCAACTACAGCAAGAGGAAGGAAAGAAAAAAAACAAAAAACAAAACAAAACCATACTCCCACAGCCCAACACCAAACCCCAACGACACCAAACTGCCATAAGGCATCTCGAAAGCCAAGTATACAAAGGCAATAGATCAACATGGGGCCAAGGTGAATGACAACAACACAGCAGCAGCAGCAACAAGAAACCAATGTGATGATCAACCTCACAGCATCTTCAAGCAATATTTAATCTCAGCAGCAAACATTACGGCACCAAAAATTCAATCTCAGCACTAAAAGCATTCAGTTCACAGCTTCATGTTCTTTATGTTTCCTTTTTTCATTTTCCATTTTCTGTACATGAGCATGGATGATTTTGGCTCTTCTTAGCTTAAGGTAACTTTTTATTTTTATTTTTTATTTATATTTCTATCCAACAACAAAGGAGATGACAAAGGAAGCTATACATAAAAAGATCAAGTCAAACTCATCAATTCAGTTTTGTGCGCTTTTTTTTTTTTTTTTTGCACTAACAACCAAAATGAAGCATTAATAACCAAAGCAACAATCATATATGAAAATTACTAGAACCTCAATACAAAAAGCAAGTTCATGGGAATAATTATAACATTAGAATAAGATTTTTAATCATAGATGCAATACAAACACAAAATAGAAGGGCATAGACATAACGAGAGAGAGACCTCTGTTCGGAATTGTCAAAACCAGAGCTGAAATCAGAGAAATCAACTGGAACAATGGTGTGGTTGGAGCTGTAAAGGTCCTTGCTGGTGACATCTAGGGTTTGATCATCGATACATTTGGCCCTCAAATGGAACTCGACGGAGCAAAACTCACACTGGCCATCGTCGTCCCTGCCTGGAGAAGTGCATGCTCATTGCTCGGTTGCTGGTGAGTGGGATGAGACCTAGGCAGTGAGAGCAGCAAATGGAGGACCAGTGGAGTGAGAGCAGACGGATAGCGAGAGCAATGGAGTGAGAGATGAAAGAGTGAGAGGCCTTAACGAGTTAACCCAGTTGCCTATATTCAACTATTAAACAATTGAATGGTTGGGATCAAATTTAAGTAATCTTAGGGTTTAGAATTAATTTTATATTTAAACTATTCGATTTAATATCAATTTTACCTCTACCATAACTAAATAAAAGTTGTTGATGTGACACTATTTGAAATTTTATTTTTAATTGATATTTTAGAGATAGTTTAGGAGACAATAAAATTTTAAATGAAATTTGGGGGTTACATTATCAATTTCTGTTTGATTATAAACAAAAGCTAATAATGGAGGTAAAATTGATCTAAAATTAAATAGTTTAAACATAAAATTAATAATATTAAAAAAATATAAATTGAATTGATATTTTAGTGATAAAGAGGTAAAATGATATTTTTCCCTAATGATTTGTATTTCACAAGGTTGTAGATGACATCAATTAATGAGAGTTCAAATATCATACGGTAGGTAGTAATTAGACTACAAAATTACATAAATGAGTTGTTCACTTATTTCATTTACATTTAGGTAAGATGGTATTACCTTGCTATTACCATTTGTTAAGCTTCTAATTTTGATCAAAACAATTATGTGGTCTACAGTTTCTAACACTAACGTTTCGTTTATTTGGGTGAAAATGTAAGAGGCACTTATTAGTGCTTTAATGGAATAAGGTTATCTGAAATGTAAAAGACACTTACTAGTGCTTTAATGGTTTAATGTTATTTTTAGTCATCAAAATTATGGACGAAATCAAAATTTTATCATCGGAAGAGTTAAAATTTGAATAAAAAATATATAAAGAAGTGCATTCAAATATTCCATCTAAGCATCAAAAGAAAAATGTTGACGGAAAAAATACAGTTGAAGAAGTTAACAATTATCGTGTTGTTGGATTGGATTCTTTTCCCTCTCTCCAAACAAAAAATTTGCAAACCTAATATATCTTGCCATATAGTTTTTATGCTTGCTCTCTTCTTCCTCCTTGTAAGTTATCTAACGACCAAGATAAAAAGCTCCAAGAAGAAAACTAAGGGCCAACAAATTGAATACCACCACTCTACCATCATCGCTGCAACTCAGCCACCATCATCTAATGTTATTTGTACTTTGATTAACAAGGAAAAGAAAGAAATTTGAACATAAATAATTAATAACACAATGATACACCTTCAAAATAAAATACAACTTCACCTAATCCAAATCAATGCTACAAAGAAGCCTTTACTACCACAAACAAAATAGAACACCAAAAAAAAAAAATCAAAACAGTAGCTGAATTTCATAATTCAATTGGCAAGTAACCAAAATAATATCAGAAAACAAGAAATTAAATCACAATTGGCAAGGGCCCAAAGTCAACTTATGCGTAAGTGATACTTAACTTTTGTGATTCTATCACTGTTGGCACATAAATTTCAACTAAATTTATGACACGTATAGAGCCTATGATAGGAAGGTTGTCGATAATCACTTCCTAAAAAAAAAGATCAACGTGATCCGTTGAAATACATAAATAAAACGACGTTGTATCTCAACGACGTTATTCAAGATACTCAAGTGACACGTGGAGCCTACGAAAGATGACACATGTAGAACCTACAGCAAGGACACCACACAGGATGAAACCCCAAAGATCAATCCGGTTAATCAGATATACGATTAATCAGATAGCGCTATTATTCAAAATTCAAATGGCGCTATCATTTAATTTGAAATTCAAATTGAAGATGAAGCATTCCTATCACTTGATGGCCCTCCATAAATATGAGGACCATCACACAAGACGAGGGAGAAAATAAGAAGTGAAAAGATCAGAGAGAGAGAAAGAAATTGAGAGCTAAAGAAATCGTTACAAGAAAGAAGAAGAGAAGCCTAGAGAATTTGAGAGCCTACGCTAATGGCGATGAATAGGTAAAGGGTTCCAAACCCAAGAATTGTATTTTGTATTCGAAGGTTCAAAACCCATAACAATTTCAATAAAATATTTATTTTTCTTAAATTATCTTTCGTTGTTTATTTTGTTCTTCATTAATCGGAGGTTTCATTTGTATAAAATGTGTAATTAACGATCTGAAATACAGATTGGAAATAAGAACCTGCTATTCAAATAATCAACACTGTTTAGTCCAAAAACTAAACAGTGGACATTTGTAACATAAATTTTGAAATGTGTTGAAACAGTTCATGTTTTAAAATTTGTGTCTACAAATTCTAGCACGCCCAGTGGGACTTATTTCTCCTCCCATCCTTTGAAGAACAAAAAATATATATATATAGTTAAAAACTTACTGATGTATTCTTTTGTTATAGGAATGCTGAAGCAACTGTCAGGAGACAAACCTACAATCCAGTGGTTCTGAAATCACCAAGGGTGGAGATAGCACCCATCACCCAAGGGGCTCCGGAGCGAATGCTCTTGGCTGTCCCAAAGGTAAAACCAACGAAATCCTGGAAAGATGCACTTCTTTCCCCTATCACCCAAGGGGCTCCGGAGTGAAAGCTCTTGGTTGTCCCGAAGGTAACTGGTGTGACAAAGAAAGTCACACTTCTCCAGAAAGCTGAAAGTTTGAGAAAGATTACTGAAGATTATGTGAAAGCGTCAAAGCAGTACGCAACTGTGAGGGCCACAGCCCGAACAAAGAGCTTTCTAATTCAGGTAAAGGAGGCTAATCAGTTTGCAACTACAACTTTTGTTGCAGCTTCAACGGGGGCAACAAAAAATGTTGTGGCCCAACTACTCAAAAGGGTAGAAGACTCCATTAAAATGGTGGAGTTTGCCCAGAAGAAAGCCTCTGCTGAAAACATGGCCGTCATTAGGGCCATTGGGAGGAGGGTAATGACCCAAACTCCTGTTGATGGAAAAAAGGCCCCTGTTGTTGAAAAAATAGTTGCGGCCTACAAACCGATAGTTCTGTTCAGAGCACAAAATCGGTCAAACCAAATCTCAGTCAACTCTCAAGAGCCAAAGGAACACTCGTTGGCTCGACCGGGTTCGAATAAGGAACACCCGTTGGCCCGACAAGGTTCGAATAAGTAACACCTGTTGGCCCAACGGGATTTGAATCAATATCAATTGGTCTGCTCTAAAAATGTAGGGACTGTTTTGAAAATTCATGAGGAGTTTGCAAAAACGCAAACGTTTCATTCTATGCCCCTAGGGGCTCAACTTGATATGTCATCCGGTCCAGTTTCGAAAAGACAAAGGCGAAGAAGAAATAAGGCCTTAAAGAAACTGGAACTAAGAACAATGGCAACAAATGTTATAGGAGCTATTGAAAGGGCTCTCTCGAAAGATGAACCCCAAAAATAAATTGAAAGTCCAGTCTTTGTTGGAAAATCCAAGGTAGAGGAGGGTAAGCAACCCTTGGGAAATATTTCTACTTTAGTTGAACTATCTATGGAGGGAATAAGAAAAGGGCCTGTAACAAGGTCCATAACCCGTCAGGCTCAAAACAAAGCATCGCAGTCAGATGCTTCAAATATGAGTAATGTTGTGGGGGTTGATAATCCTTTATACGAACAAGATGATTCTATCTCGTTTGTTTCAACGGATATTGGAAACAATGAATTGAGAGATATCAACAAAGTCGCAGTTATGATGACTGAGGTTGAAAAAGAAGGTGAAAATTCACAAGTCCAACAAGACCAAGGTCTTAAGGAAAAAGTGGTGGCCCTACAAGAACAACTTGAGAGAAGAGAACGGGAAATGGCTGCTGTGTTGGAGCAAATGCAACAGTTGCAGGCCCAAATGACAGGACCAGGAAGTGCACCCAAACAAATGACACAACCTGTTGTGGGGACATCCGTAGGCATACAAAGCACACTAGCCCCAGGGGGCAATGGTCCTTGTTACTTCGATCTAACCAGTGGTGGTATGAATCCAATGCTCATGGCCCTGATTGATGATATGGTGAGGAGACAAGTAAAGAAAGTCAAAGAAAAAGATGATAAGAACTTTCAAATAATTACAAAACCTTACCCAGCATGGGTAGATGCTGTTCCATTCCCTTCTGATTTTTTCCAACTAGATTTCAAAATGTTTGATAGAACAGGAGATCCAAGACAACATGTGGCTCATTTCCTTTCGAGATGCGGGCCAATAGCCCAGAATGAGGCCCTGTGTCTGCAGCTATTTGTTCAGTCACTTGAAAGTTCTGCATTTACTTGGTATGCTAACCTTCCTCAGGGATCAATCCTAAATTGGGATTCCATGGTGAAGGAGTTCCTTAAACAGTTCTGCAACACACAAAGGCGAGTTGGAGTACCAGAACTGATTGAGACCAAGCAACATGACAATGAGTCTGTTACAGATTTCATTGCAAGATAGCGAGCTTTGACATTTGCTTGTCCTCAAAAGTTTACGCAATTAGAGTTAATTCGGATGTGCCTTAACAACTTCCGACATGAGCTCTCTACGGCTCTTATGGCTCAAACTTTTGAAGGATTCAATGATCTATGCACTAAAGCTTATGATATGGAGCTGCATCTAGCTAAACGAAGGAGGCCTAGGGCCGTTGAAAGGGTTGAGTCCTCGACTACAGCTACAATCGAAACCAGAAAGAAGGGTCCCGTTGTAGTAGGGGCTAAAAAGCCCAAAGAAGAAATATTCTTTCATGAATGATCTGGTCGAAGACCTATTTGAAGATCTGTTGGAGCAAAAGTTGATTGCTCTCCCTGAGGTGAAAAGACCACATGAGGTAAGAAAGACCAACGATCCAAAGTATTGCCCCTACCATCGTTTGATTAGCCATCCGATAAAAGAGTGCTTTGTTCTGAAAGATAAAATTCAGGAACTTTTGGACTCTAAGATTATCGAGCTCCCTCCTCAAGAGAAAGCATCTGCTAACCCAATCACTATCGACAATGATAATGAAGGTGAATGGATTGTTTATCAGTCAAAAAGCATGAAGAAAAGACAAAATGCCACAGTGAAAGCTAGAAGTGTGGTTGATTCAACAACACAAGGGCCAAAAGTTTCCAAAAAGCAAAAACCAAAAGTTTCTACGAAACAGAAAAAAGCCAAAGTAAGTAAGAGAAAAAGAAAGAAGAACCCAAAGAAGGAAAAAGGGGAGAAATTGGT